AAGCTTTGCCCTTTGTACAGAGATTGTTATGAACTGACTAAATGACTAGCGGAACGCTAGCTAAGCTAAAAAAGAGTATTAGTTCCCTTCAATCAAATCAATAAGCTTTATTTCAGGCCTTCTTAGAACCCATTGATTGAGGGGGGCCTCAGCCCAGGAAGGGGAGAGTGGCCGAGTGGTCAGATGGGCTTTGTTTGGAAAGCCAGGAAAAGGTGGCTAGAAATGGATCTTAATGCTAACATTGGGCTAACCTTCACTCCAATAGAATGGAAAAATAAGTAGAAGCATATTTTATCTACGGGCAAATATGTCTTTATCACAGGCTCTGCTGGGACTTATTGCTTAAGGAAATAAAAAAATGACCAATATGTGGTTTTGTCATACAATAAAATCCAATTTGTTTGGACACGTTAGGTTTGGCTTAATACCTTGAGTAAGGCCGAACATGTACACCTTTAGTTATGAAGATATGATCTTATCCACCGATGGGTCTTGTTCTAAGCCTAACTCTCTCGTCTTAGGGCCAGAAACCTTAAATCACGGGAACTTCCCCTTTTTGGTGGATAAGGGCGGAGGTAGCCCAATAAGCATCGAAGTCGTGAGTGAGAGACTACCGGAACCATAAGACACTCATTTCATCTACGTTTTTAATACGTTTATGTGCCTAAGACTAGTATATCATAGTTGGTGTTTGACCGACGAAGGTATAGAGTGGAAAAATGGACTAATGAAGCAGTTGGTGCGCGGCAAGCTAGCATGTTCCTCTCCGAGGTACTATGCATATGGTATGGAAACCAATATATTTGATAATAAAATGAAACCAATCAAGTGTAAGGAGTTAATCAACCCGCCTTGTAGTTGTAGTTCGAGCCTCCCTTCTTGGTCCCAATATGAAGAAGCAGCTGGTTCGCCTGGTGAGGCTTTCAATAGCAAATCCATATATGAATCCATCAGTTCCGATTGCTAATGAAAGGGCTAAACGCGCCAATAGCTTCAACCGACTTCAAATGAAAGAGAATTGAGTTTCAATTAGCCTCTCCTTTGAGAAAAAGTGGACTACACTCGATCAATCCACGAAGGTGTAGCACTTCTCCAACCCTCTGCTAGCAGCTTGATTCTCTTATGAAATTAAAAGTTACAGATCACTCCGAAAAGCGGCCTTAATTAATCTTATATATATACGATACCACAAAATTCATTTTCTTGCTACCTTCAGTTCAGGATTAGACCATAGAAAATCCTTCTGCCCTTTGTCTACATCATAAAGAATGTGTTTTGGAAGTCTGAAGCAGGACATTAGGTCTTGTTGATGGTTCAATTTCTATTCTATATTTTCTCTTTCTTGAGCAGACTATTATTTATTACTCGTTATTCTTCTTTCTTTTTTTACCTTATAAGCTAGACGACTTTATTCTCTCGGAATAATGTATGGTTTTTTTTGCACAACGCGTTTGCCCCTAGGCATTGATTGGGATTGTTAGCAAAAACTTTTCCTCTCCCCCCACTGAAAGGAATCTCATGCCTCCCCCTCTAACACTTTATGGCCGCTTCTCAATCTAATCGTGCTTATCGTTCAAGTGGTTAAGAAGCTAATAGGATAGTAATAAAGAAATAGGTAACCCGCTCGCCTGAAACAATTCTCTTTCTGGTCAGCTAGGGCAAGTTCATGATAACTGTGAAGCTTTCAATGAAGGGCCACCACGCAGCAAAATAGCGGCTAGGTCATAACCACTATGTGTCAAAAAAGCAATATCAACTATGATTTACTATGTTCGACGCCTGGATTTCTAGAGTAGCAGGTCTCAAGCCTTGACTCTAAGATCTTCCAGATTCCTATCAATAACCTAGTATATTAGTTCATGCTTATCTATTAAAAAACCTGCTATAGCAATCTACCACCTTCTGCATGACAAACCTCATGGAAAGAAAGAGTGAGGATTTTTGAAATGAATGTAAGTTAGTGAAGCAAGGCACTGAAAGTGAAAGTTGTCCAATCGCTCTAAACCAGTTGTATCTTGTGATTATTAGTATTCATAACTTATTTTGCAATTGGTTCGATTTATTTCTATAAAGGGCTAATCAAAAAAGTACTTTTGTCTTCTTCAAAGCTTGTTAGGATAAAAAAGATGGTAGCTCAGCCCTCTCTTACCCTATCCCATTTAAGGTCTTAGTCTTCAGTCCTTACTTAGTCACTTCTCCTGCAACCTTCTCACTACAGCGAGAAACACATGAACTTGCCCAAGACCTTCTCGCTACAGCAAAAATGCCCCTGCAGCACAATGTCAATATATCCAATACCCCCCCAACACTCAATACACCTTCTCATTTTCAACCACAAGTCAAAATTCATATTTAAATCACAATATATGTTTATACATAGATATACACATCCACATCATTAACATAAGTCAAAATACACATTCAAACCACAACATACATACATATATTAATAATCGTAATGGAATTACAAAACTCAGGGTGTTACAGTCTACCTAATCTTTTATCTCGTTTTATCCTAGAGATCCATTAACTAATCATGGTATGATTGCCTATGATGTAATTAATTAGGGTTATATTATGAATGACAAATTCACAACATACAATTATGCGCAATAGAACAAACACTAATTATGGACAGATATCAAACTTAGATTCAAATATCAAAATTACATAAATTTATGAACAAAAGTTCCCTTAGCTATAGATTTAGTTACTCATGCTAAAGAAAAGAACTAAAATAATCATAAACAAAATCATAGTCAAAAGAAAATAACAAATTAGATTATCCCTAAGGATTAGGGATGAGAAGAGTTCTTGGTCTTCAAGTAAATCGCTCAATGCTTGAAGTTCTGCTAAGAATATGCCAATGATCAAGAGCAAGGTTGTGAAAAGGATGGTGTTGCAGGGAGAATGATATCAAAAGGTTGAAAAGGATGATGAGCTGTTGTCCCTAAGGTCTCTTTTAATAGGGTTTGAAAACTCTAAAATTTCTTTAAATTGGGCTTTCTCACAGGTGAACACGGCCATGCAAGGCCATAAGCAAGGTCGTGCATGTGATTGAAGCATTCACATGTTGGCTACTGGCATCTGGGTGTGCTGATTATAGAAAAGCTCTATTTTCCAATCAATTTGAGCCCAAAATGCATCCAAAAAAATTTAAGTTGTATGTTCCACTAGTCCATTATTGTTTGAAAAAATTTAAATTGCTGGTGTGGTTCATTGTTGTTCAATGTTTTAGAAACAAGAAAATACAAGGTAATTGAGATCATCAGTAATAGGTAAATTAGTATCTCCAACATAAAAATTGATAGAGTCCAATCTAGAATTGGGCCTACAGAACCTTTGGCCTATGAAACAAGGAAGGCTCCTAAAAAGTAGTTAGTATATTCACATAGGAAGAAAGGAGGGGCTGACTTGGCATGGAAAAGAGAGATGTTAGAGGATAGAGAAAATAATCATTTATGTTATATAGCATCATGCATTAGGTGAGAGAATTCATTGAATATCTAGTTTTGCATTTCGGGTAGAGAAAATCTTAGAGGTTTCTCTATTTAGGAGCTGTGCTCTCGACAGAGAGAAATTTCCTCGTTCTGTATTTTTTGAATTTACCATTAATACAAAATTACATACTTTTTCTTCTCTTAAATTTTTGTATTTTCTTTTCTCTATGGTGTGGAACTATATTAGAAACCTTTAATGCAATTAAACAAACATAACATACAATTAATGATAAAAAAATTAAATACATTAAATTTAATTATTGTTGCTATTTCACTTGCATGTTCCTAAAATTCATAACTAGTAATATTTATTTTAATCAGCATCATAAAACTACCTATTAATTCAATATCAATATATAATTAAAATATTGTCATGAATAATTATTGTTCAGAAGCATTTATTATTCCATCAATATCTTTATTATCACATATTTAAATTATACAAGTTTTTTCTTCATGACATATCATAACTCTACTAGTTATATTTAAAATAATTTAATTTCTTAAAATTTTTAATTTCAAGAAAATTTTTCTTTTAAATTCATCTATGCTAATACCACATTTTATTTGTGTTGTTTTGTTTTATGACTTTCGAACATTAGACCTATATATTTTTACTCTATTCTACCGTATGAATAAACAACAATAGTTTTTAATTTTAAAACTATTTATTTATATCTAGATATTTAATGACAACTACTGCAACAAATCACACATCAGAACTTGCAACGTGCCAACTCCTCGTGTGCAGTGCACCATCATTTGAATGTTTACCTAACACATTTTGAATTGAATTTTTATACATGTATTAGCTCCTTTTAAACTATGTCCACACGCTTGAGTGTGACTCTTTTCTTTTGCCTTTTGCCTTTTTTATGATACCTTTTATTATAAAATTTACCTATTTCGTTAATTGCTTTAAAAAAAATTCAAGTAAAAAAGATGCTTTATCTATGGAAAGTGTCAAGCTAATGACAAACTAATACTCCATACAATCTCAAATATAAGCAAAAAGTGATTAAATTGTACTTATTAACAAATTAATTAATCTCATTTAATATTCTTAATTATTTCCAATAAAATAAACTTCATTTCCTTGTATATCTATCATAGTATTTATTGCAAAGAAATATAAATAACATAAGAATTAAGAATGATTTAACTTTTTTATTGCAATTAAATAATATTAGTTAATGGTTTAAGTTCATATTAAATGTCAGTATTAAAAATTTAAAAAAAAAATAGTTTTTAAAAATAAAAGCTTAAATGATAAGAATTTATTTCAAGTAAATTTTTTCTTTTACTTTTTCAATATAAATTATATGTAATGGTTGATGTCATATATCTAGAGAATAAAAAATTATTAAAAATAAAATTTGACTTAATAAAGAATAATTTGAGAAGTTTTATTAAACATTATAAAATTAATTAACATTTACTTATAATCGAAGCTATCATACATCACTTTATTTGCTTATATTTGAGGCGAGAGGGAGTAACACTCGTATAAACTATACTACTAGCATTTCAGCTCAACAACCAATGTTCAGGAAGCATACAAAATGTTTTCCCACATGGGTTAGTAGCAACCAAAGCGCCTCTCTATCATCCTTCATCTACTCTCAATTGTTCAATAAAAGAATAGGCCAAAAGAAAATCACGGACACAGCAGAAAAGAAAAATAAAACATAAAGAACTCCTATAACATGTGGCTTCCATCTTGAAAAAACTCCTAATGAGAATAACTAGCAATCTTTCTTTCACCACCAAGGTCAAAGTTCCGAGATAAATTTAATTGTACATAAACTATGTTGATTATGTAAAGTTAGTCAAACTCTTGCTTCCAAATCTTAGATATGACAAGATTCCATTTTTACATTTTCCGTAAAATGTCCAAACAGGATTTGTCAAGCCAAGGCTGAAATATTCCTTCGTGGGTCAAATTCTGCAACAATATAAACAAGGGACATCAAGATAATGCTGTGGCATGTAATTCACGTTAGTTAGCAGATGGTATATACAAGAACTCCTACATATTCACCACTGTGTTAGAACATATAAATATGAAAATACGAATCAATGTGATAGGAATGGACCCTAATCAGGAAGGTGCTTTGTAACCCAAATTAGTATTTACAATATGTTTTACCCATTAGTAGTTAGTTATAATATATCGGTTATGGTTAGTTATCATAGCTTGAATTGGTTAATTGGACATTCTGCCTATAAATACGTAAAAGGAATTGAGGAGATATCTTGTCAATTGTGTGTTAGGGCCTTTGACTTTGGAGGAGCGGTCCCTAAAAAAAGAATACCAACATTTGTATTTTGGGAAGTAATCATTAGTAGTTAGGAGAGGAGTTTTGTTAGTTAATCCACATTAATAGTTACAATATACTGAAGGAAAAGAAGCCTGTTGGTGGCTGATTAATGTGGAGCACCACTTGAAGACACTGCAATACTTAAAGAAGAAAAGATACAGAAGGTTGGAAAGGCTATGCAAGAATGTTATTTTGTTTGGTGATTTGGGTAGAAATGAGATAATAGTTGCAGTGCATCATGATGAGAGTTCGTGAAGGCTTTGGTCACAGAATTCCAGCCTAAATATGACCCAGATCTGCCAGTTTAGGTTGAAGATCAAGGTTCTTTGGTGCAACAAACAGAACAAAAGATGAAAAAAGCTTAGAGAGAACAAAACAAGCAACTCAAGGGCATGAAACAAATACAAGAAAGCTACAAAATTGGGAGAAACCCAACAAATGCAACCCTACATTCTAGACATAGGCCCAGTTTGGATAAACTTCTCAACAAATTCTTATAGGAGATAAAAGTAGTGAAATAAAACAAACTCCTCCCATGAGTTAAAATTAACTTACGCTTCTTTATTTTTTTTAGAAGTTCTCCCATTTAACTTCTGCAAAACATGAAGAAATAAGTTATTTTTAACTTATGAAGAAATTTTTATTCATTTTTTATATTAATTTTCTTTTCCTATAAGGACTTATTTATAGGTTTACCCAATTTCATTTTTTATATTAATTTTCTTTTCCTATAAGGACTTATTTATAGGTTTACCCAAACTATGCCATAATAGAAAACAGAAACAGAAATGAACTTCTTGACATCAAGAATCACAGTGGCAGAGATGACAAAGAGATGGGTCTTTTTTTGGGTTGCAAAGAGGAGGCAAAAATTGAGGGAGGCCCTATATTTCCCACAAAGGGAGAACCAGGGACTAAACATACAACAGAAACAGTGAAGATTTTGGGTTTGGGTAGTCTGATCAACCCACCACAGAAGGAAAATAGAGTGGAGGATCTTGATAATTATCAGTTGCAACCATGTGCGATAGTGCAACTCACAAAGGAGTCGTGGGATCTGTGTATAATTATAGAGCCTCTAATGCTCTATTCCATGTCCAAAAATACCACAGAAAACAGAACCCTGAGAGAGAATAAGGGATTTCACAGGTTTGTATTTGACCTAGGAGGAGAAGCTATTTTTAGGCTGCAAGGAAGAGTTAGCTTAATCATATCATGCTTCAAACAGAAGAAACCCCACTGCAAGGAATTCACTTGAGAATGAAAAGTGGGCTGTAGAGAAAATAGGGATTCTCTCTTAACTGAGTTCCAGTATAATAATATTTAATTTCTTCCTTGTTTAAAACTTACTAGGTGTGGCCATATAACTCATTTTAAGAATTTTGCTCACAGGATTAACAACTACCACCAGAAATGACATCAAATTTCAGACCATAAGAACCCATCACTTCCAAGTAAACCAGAAACAACAAAAGTAGGTAGGTACATTCTCATCTCAATCACTCAAGAGTCAAGAGGAAAACCCAAAACAGGTCATTAAAGCATTGCTTCAACACATCAAATGACTAAAACAGGAAATTATGTAAACATGATGAATCTACTGACTTACTTGCAACCAGAAAATAAATCCACGCAAGAGAAACAAAACCCTTTCTGGTTCCTTGAATCCAGTAATTGCTTTAGCTAGATCTGCACAATCATGAAACAAGTATTTGACAGAGGATGGCATCAGATTGAGTAAAGGCAGAGTTATACAATAATGAGAATAGAAATTCTTGAAAGTCCAAAAGAAGCAGAAGAGCAGAAGCAACCTAATATCTTGCACAAACCACAAATTTCATAAACACAGATTGAAATGATGTTCAGATCACCAAAATATAACCCAAATATGCTGACGATAATAGTCTATCAGAAAATGAGGCCCTCTTAGGCCATAACAGGTATCATGGTCTACCTTGACTAAAGAGAAATTGATAATATTAAGTTAATTTGTTAGTTCATGAGCAAATTACGATATTACATTTATTCCCGAGATTCCAAATTATTTTCTTCACCCATGTTTTGAAAATTGCACTTAACTTCCTGTATTAAAATTTCAGTTTTACACAGCCCATTTACACAGCAACACAAACAAACAACCATCTTATTGCATAGAAAATACACCAAAACAGAGTTAGTTCTAGGTTTTATGACGAAAGGGATGGAAAGACTAATTTGCTCTTAATTCAAATAATTCAACTAAGTTTTGGGTGGTCCATTCAAAATATCGAATGCTAAATGCCTGCTGTTAGAAGTGAAGAATGAATAAAAAATATTAGAAGGAATAGATTTGGAGGATTCAGAAGAAGTTGAAGGATATGCTTCACTATCTGAAGGTAAAAATGATTATTACATTGGGAAAAGGGAGGAGAATGAATATACTTAGGTTTTTATGTTTAACTTATTCTAGTTCTTTTACAATTTAATATTAAACTTGAGTTTGTACAATGTCAACTTTTGAAAAATGAGAATGATAAATCTTTTTTAGTTTTAATATTTTATCATACAGTTTATTCTGGATTGTGTACAACTTTATATAGGCATATATATAACTAATTTATTCCAAACATTATGCTTCCACTATTTGCTGGCAACGTGATCTGCTATAAGGCATAGCAATTTTTTGGCTTTCCACGATATACTGCTATTTGCAACTGACATCACTGGTTAGGATTAAACTTCATGCTACCAATTTATAAACAAAAGAGGAATATCTGAAAAGTCAAAATAGTTGAGAAAACAATGGACCTACCAGGATACAACTCAAGATATGATTTGTTGACACCCTTGGCGCGATAAGACTTAACCACCCCCCGACGTGTTTCTACATGGCGTTCCTTTTGCCTTTTCTGATGTACTTCATGCAGAAGTCTATCACATTCTTCTTGGTCATACGGCCTTAGAAGATCTTGCATGAGTCTTCTCCTAAATTGAGAATGATCATATGCAGAGAATTGCCAGCTGTCTCCATGATTCATTTTATTTTCAAACCACTAAACAGAAAGACACATTATGAGATAAATTAAAAAATAATTGTTTCAAAAATACTTAACAATGTGCTTGTGTATTGAAACAAATTGCAGGTTATGAACAATACAGTTATACTGAATGAAGTGCAAAACACTTACAGATGCATCATATGTTTTTGAAGAAACGAATGGAGTGTTCTCATAAATTTGATTAGGTTCTAAAAGAATAAGATCTGGGTCAGACGAATTACTTCCACCATCCACACTGTCTGTCTTTGAGGTATCCCTCTCAGGCATAAACACCCAATCATCATCAACAATCTCAATAGAATTCAGGAATTGTTGGTAATCATCGTCAATTTCATTCAGTGTTTCAGGAGCACCAGACAAATGATTAGAAACTTGTGAATTTTGCCTAACAGTTGAACTCTTTCCCATTAATTCACTATCCATATAGACCATACCATCATCTTCTATCCTACAAGAATTCAGGAATATCTGGTAATCTTCATCCACATCATCTAACCCCACATTACTGTGGTAAATGCTCTTGGGGGCTTTAGAAAAGTCTTGACATGGCCTTTTCTTACAAGGTCCTCTTTCAGTCTCCAAATTTTTCCGAGATTCCATTGGGCCACCAGTCTGTTTTCTCATTAAATCACTCACTTTATTTTTTAGATTTCCAATCTCATCTTTTAGTTTCAAACCCCTTAACATCATAGTATCTAACTTGAGCTCATTATGCAACCGTTCTTTGTCTTGACCCCCATACCTTTTATGAACAGACTTGTTTTCTGCAGAACATGAGTATAAATGGGAACCCCCTTCTTCCCTCAAATTCTCCAAGAATGTTTTGTAATGAGGATCACAATCATCATCATTGTTACTATTGTAGCCAGCACTAATGTCAAAATCAGAACCATCAACATTAACATCAGTGACAACATCAATATCAGAAATATAGGTATCCAAAAACATTTTGTAATCTTCATCAATTTCATCCTCTGAAACAAGACCATTTTTTCCTGTTAAAATAGCCATATTTCCAAAACCTTTCACGTTTGATTTTGTAGCACTGCCACAGTGATTGTGCTTCAGACGATCATTTGAAAGCTCCCATCTCCTCCATCGTCTTTCTAACCTTCTATTGTCCTCATCAGAATTCTGACCTTTCCGATGCTCACTCCTTTGAGAATCACCTGGATTAATCTTGATCAAAGTATGCCCCATTTCCCTTTAATGAAAACAGTGTCCTTCTTTGAGACAGGATACTCACTGTAAACACCAAAAATCAAAAAGAAAGCAGTCCATTTGTTACCATGAAAAAAATACTTATATGGAATGTAAGCTGATTTTCTAATAAAGAACAAGTTGTCTAGTGCATTATTGGAAACTAAATATAATCCAAACGACGGATACAATACAGCAACTTAATTAAATACATCAATAGACAACATCCCATTTTGTTCGGTGCGTACACATTCAAAAAATATCATAATATTACTGATGATAATACACAGCAATAGCAACTTAATTAAATACATCAATAGGCATTTAAGCTCAACTAAATACAATAATAATTTGATCAAAAGGCAATCTTTTTGCTTTTTTGTGTAAAAGGGGCTAAAGGGGTTTCTTAAATCAATTACCAGGCTCACAAGTATAGTTATTTTGCAGAGAGTAGACATTCCAAAGCAAGATCAGATGAGATGAACAACTAAAAATCCAGTAGCAACAATCATATTCATACCCATTCTGCTCATATTATCTTCAAATAAAGAAAAATATAATAAGATGACAAAATGTTATTTCATAAAACTGGATAAATAGTACAACAGCAACTGAATCACGATAAAAACAAAGCAAGAATTAATAAAACGGCAACTTGAACCAGCAGTTAATGTCAAAATTTAAAAATATTCCAAAGAACAAAACTTGATTTTCACTGAATACCCCACACAACATTACCCCAACCCATTGGGGATGACCTAGACGAATGATATGTTCCAATAGCCCACATATGATACACACTTCCAACTGAAAGTTCAATTTACTTTCCTACAAGTAAACCACATTCCCAAGGCCAATCAGAATCATATTTCATTCCTATCCCCATTATTTACTTATCCCAAACAAATGATAATGATCCATTACCGCAAACAAATCCACTCCATTCATCAAAATAAAGCTTTGGTTCCCATTACTATCTTTCCATCGATCATTAGACCCAAAGCATGCAGCTGTTCACACCAACTATTTGCGCTCCTCACTCCAACAAAAGTAAACAAATAATTAAAAATTGATTAGTTAACTATTTAATAAGCATTCGACCAATGAACGCAGAGGTATACTATAAAACAAATTAAAGGATAAAAAACAAACAAGCGAAAGGCGATGGCATTTTTGGTTAAAAAAAAGCAAACATTTCGGCAGCGAATGCTTCAAAAGGGAAAAATAAGATTGAATTATTTTGTCAATTAAAAATAATAAAATAAAAACATCCTAAAAAGCATAAAATAAGCGTACAAGACGATTTTAAAACAGTGAAATCAAAGCAGGACGGGATTTGCTAGCAGGTTAATTGGTGTTGGTGATATAAAAAAAAACCAAGAGAAGAAGAAAACCTTAAAAGGACTCGAAAGCAACACCATAACAAGCTTCAAGTTGTGAACCATGATGTTGTTACGTTCGGCTAGCCCACTGTTGATAGCTACTAATTCATCGCATGGGTTTTACATACCATTTAATTTGATTTGATTGGAGTGGATAATTTCCCCAATATTTAATATTTCATAAATAAGATTAGATATTTATCTGATAAGACATGCAGAATTTTATTTATTTCTAAAAACATATCTATTTTTAAAATTAAAAACAATGAAAAATTGAATTAAAGTATTATATAGATTATAAAATGATGCTTTAATAAGAGGTTTAAAATTTATAATATTTATAAAAAGTTATATACTTTTCTCTTTCTTCTCATAAAATTGAGTCGACTTTTATTAAAGTTTTCTTAAATTCTAAATTTTATTCTTTTTTATATCTATCTCACAGTTATGTTATGAAAAACATTCTCTCCATAAGAGTTTCACTTTAAAATTTAAATCTTTGTTTGGAAAAAACTATAGCATAACTTATTAGAAGGTAAAAAAATGATCTAAGGAGACCAATTTAATGAAAAGGAGCACCAAAAAGGTTAAACCGACTTTGCTAGCCTCAGAATAAGATACGGATCCACATAAAGCAGTCAAAATGCTATAGATGATTAGGTGTCTTCGAACCCTAATTTTTTTACTAGAGTTTCTTATAAAGACAAAGTTTTATCGATTAAAGATTTAGATCTTATTCTTGCAGATGGGCATATTGTTCAATCTATACTAGAAGAGTTTAACATTAACCCTGATATTATCGAACAAGATGTGTTTGGTATTGACCAAATTTTCTGCTCTAACCTTAAAGTGCTTCTAGAGGATTATGAACAATGGTGTTTTTCCTAGAAACATACTTTGATTGTTAAACTCCTAGGTAAACTAGTAAGTTTCAACTACTTGAATCAAAAGTTAGGCAATCTTTAGGGACAAAATGATCCCTTGAAAATTTTAAATCTAAAAAATAAATATTTTTTAGTAGAATTTGATAATACTAAGGATTACAAAAACACTTTATTTAAGAGTCTATAGCTAATCTTGGATCACTATCTTCTAGTCCAGCGCTGAAGGCCTCTATTCAAGCCTAAAGACAATTCTTTTAGGAAACTTGTTGCCTAGGTTCAAATACTAGACCTTGTAATACTCTACTTTTCTTTACCTTGAATATAATAACTTTATAAAGAATTTTAAAGAATAATCAAACTTTCGTTATAATTAATTAAAATTTGCTGAGATAAAATCTTTCGCATCAGTCAATTTGTGTATGAGACAAATTTAAGAAAACAACTATATAGGATATATTGTAGATCAATATTTGCATACTGGAAGATCTCAATTACAACATAATATATTATATTTATACGTCTCTATTCAAAATACATCAAAATTTTACAATAGTTTACGTCTATATCATGAAAGCCCTTAATTTTTGTCAAATTCTCAGTGGTTAAAATTCATCATCTTCCCCAAGATAGGCATCACCAGAGTTTGTCACTATTATCTATACTAGAGAATATTTCAAATGTGTAACTATTTGGCCTTCTTACCAAATCATGATCATGATAGATAAATACATTATTCATTATTCGAGAAGGCCTTTCTATTTTCTGATATAGATAAAAACTAAGAGACTGATGAATTTGACTACTAGTGGAAAAATCAAAAGAAACTGCATAATTATATACTACTTTTAATGTATACTTCTTATCCTCCTCAAAATACACTCTAAAATTCAAATGTATTACAAGTATATACTCTCTAAAAACATAATTTAATCTACTACTAGCATAAACATCCACTATGCTAATCCGCATAGGACATGTTGTCATCTTTACTACCTGCAGGGTTATGTAAGGGTGAGCATTTATTCTATTTTTTTAAATACAACACAAAGATATCATAACAATATTATAATTATACAATTAAACATCGATTCATATCACGTTACCACATATCATGTGTCAATCATCACACATGTTCACATAACCTCATTGACATTTCCATTTTCAATTTCGCACTTTAAGTGCACCATGATCACAGTCATTCAATGCCTCCAGCAATTCTCGAGATCTTACTCAATCGTGTAAGTAGTTACTGGTTAGCCCATGCATATGGATACAACGTATACAATAATAGACTCCTTAGTAAAGGCATAGTCAGGAGTCTAGTCAAGAAATGAGTGTGAAGACATGTGGCGCATTCGCTCACCACCCTATATTTCTCCCAAATATCATATCATCTCTGGACTCTATACCTCCAGTGTATCTCTATAACTATTTGCACCAAATCTATTCAGTTCTCATATTCATTCCACATTCAAATCACAAGATTGTGCTTAACAGCACTTACAGACTAATTTTGTACTACTCATACCACTAATTCATGATCTCAATAATCATATCATCCAATAAATTATCGAAGACTTATTCATCATATTCATGTATTTCTCAACAACAAAGCCATACCATATCCAATGCATTCATTAAATATCCTCAAAACTTGCTTAACCATAATTTTATACTTTATCATCATATATTTCATATGAGCATAGTATAATCAGTCAACCAAACATTCATATATACATAACAGCCATCAGGGGCGGCCTAAAGTCCAAGCAAGTAAGGCAAGGGCTTTAGGCCCCCCAAATTTTTTTTGTTTTGTTTTAGTATACTTTAAAAAAATTAAATTTAAAAATAGCTTTTAATTTAAATATTTTAAGTAATTATTAACTTTTTATTGATATTATAAATAACATTTAATAAGTCGTAACTCTTAACCAATAGATAATAAACGGTTTTTAATTTATTTTTAAAAAATAATTGAATAGCAAAGAAAAAAAATGAACAATTTTTTAACTTTTTATTTAATTGCTACTTCTTCTTTCTTTCTCTAACTACTCTCTTCTTCTTCTCTTCTTGTTTAATTTTGTTTCAATTTGTATTTTTTTACTAACAACAACCTTGGGATAGAAGTGGAGGAGAAAACAAAGTATTCTATTTTTCTAACGCAGAAATATTGGTACGAAGCCTTCTATTTTCCCAACGCAGAGGCACTAGTACAAGAGTCTTCCCTTCACTACTCAGCCTCCATTACCCACACCTACCAAACAGTATTTCGTGATTTCTTTACAAAACTGTCACTTTTGAAGGTGTAAAGATTGCAAGTGTCAAGTTTATTTTCTTGACAATCAGGTTTTATTGTTTTAGTTTGGTCTTATTTTATATATTTATATTTCGTACTTTTTTTACTAGAATATTTCGTACTTTATATATTATAATTTTTAAATTCATATAAAAATATATAAATGTCAACTAGAAAATATGAATTAGGCCATTCAAAACTTCCAAAAAAGAGAAGAGTTGAGGCTTTAATTGAATCACAAAAAAGAGCTACGGATAAATTTATAAAAACAAACAAGAAAAACGCATTAGAAAACACATGAGGATGCTCTTTGAATGAACAAGATAACAATAAAGATATAGGTGAAAATAGAGAAATAGTTAGTGAAGAAGATAATTTTAATTCTCAAACTCATGATAACGAGGAAGAAATTAAAAGATTAGATAATTTTACTTCTAAAAATATATATGATCCAAGTCAATAGACGAATATTAGTACAAATTTGAGAGACTTATTAGTAGAAAAATGCCCTATTAAAGTTATTGGTATAGATTTTCCAAAGGATAAATATTCCAGACATTTTTCTTCATCAAATTACATTCAAAAATTACCTAATGGAGAGAAACATGAAAGAAGATGGCTAATTTATTCCATAGATTTAGATAGAGTATTTTGTTTTTGTTGCAAATTATTTAATTTTGTTTCTTGTACAAGTAAACTAGCTAACGAAGGTAGTAGAGATTGGAGAAATCTTAGTGCTAAGTTAAAGAGTCATGAAATAACTAATGAACATATCACTAACATGAATGCATGGATTGATTTGGAGATGAGATTGTCAAAAAATAAAACAATAGACAATCATATTCAAGAACAAATAAATAGAGATAGAGAACATTGGAGAAATGTATTATTAAGGATTATTGTAGTTGTTAAAACTCTTGGTAAAAATAACTTAGCCTTCCGTGTAAAAAATGAAAAGATATATCAAGAAGGTAATGGAAATTTTTTAAGTCTAATTGAAATGATTGTAGAATTTGATCCAATTATGCAAGAACATATTCGTTGAATTAAAAATGATGAAATTCATAATCATTACCTTAAGCATAATATACAAAATGAGTTGATAAATTTGTTAGCAAGTGAAATAAAAACAAAAATTATAAAAAAAATTATAGATGCGAAATATTATTCAATTATACTTGACTGGATTCCAGATATAAGTCATCAAGAACAAATGTCTTTTGTATTACGATGCGTGTATATTTCATCAACACCTATACAAGTTAATGAGTATCTTTTAGAATTTTTAAAAGTAGATGATACAAGTGGAAAAGGTCTTTTTGATACTATTATTGATGAATTAAAAATTGTTGGACTTGATATTAATGACCTTAGGGGACAAGGATATGATAATGGGTCTAATATGAAAGGCAAACATCAAGGTGTGTAAAAAAGACTTCTAGATATTAATCCTAGATCATTTTATACTCCATGTGGTTGCCATAGTCTAAACTTAGTACTTTGTGATATGGCTAATTCTTGTCCTAAAGCTATATCTTTTTTTGGTGTGTTACAGCGTATATATACTTTATTTTCTTCTTCTACAAAAAGGTGAAAAATTTTACAAGATTATATACGTAACTTAACTATTAAATCATTGTCACAAACACATTGGGAAAGTCGTATTGAAAGTGTGAAAGCTGTAAGATTTCAAACTTCACAAATAAGAGATGCTTTATTAAAATTGGCTAAACATAGTGATGATCCTAAATAAAAAGTGAAGCGGATTGTTTGGCAACTTACGAGCTTGAAAAT